TGGGAGGGCGGGGTGGGTGACTGCTGGGAAAGGGGAATCCCTGGAGTATCCTGGGTCTGAGGTCCGAGGTCCTGATCCAGGTTTCCAGGGTGAAACAGGCTGGAGGGCAGAGTGGGGTGCTTGCGCCATCCCCTGACACAGACCCTGAGAGGTGAGGGCTGATCCCTGGGGAGGGAGATGGGACGCAGGGGATCCCTGAGATCGCAGGTCATGGGGGCGATACCTGGTCCTGAGAGAAGGTTTGCTCCCTGGAAGAGGAGTCGCTGAGAGCTCAGAGCCTGGAGCCTGCCTCGGATTCTGTATCTCCCTCTCTTCTTTCCCCTGCTTGCACACTCTCTGTCTCAAAACTAAATATACATTTAAATAATTCAAAGGGAAAGTCTAGAGGTGCCTGTCTGGCACAGTCTGTGAAGGGCGAGACTCTTCATCTGAGGGTGGTGAGATCGAGCCCCACGTTGGGAGCAGAGCCTACAAAAAAAGTAGTCTAAGGTTTGTTAGGTTCAGTTAAACAAAATGAATGACACAGGAAGTAAATTGTTCTGTGTTCTCTCTGGAAGGTGGCTCCCGATGACAAAGATCACGTTTTACACATATGATTAAAAATCCTACTATTTCCATAAGTTCGCCTTTTGGGGCCCCTGGGTGTTTCAGTTGGTTAAGTTTCCGACACTTGATTTCCTCTCAGGCCATGATCTCACAGATCAGGGGTCGGAGCCCCGCATTGGACTCTGTGATGAGAGCCTGGAGGCTGCTTGGGCTTCTCTCTCTGTGTGTCTCTGTCTCTCTCTCCATCTCCCTCTGTCTCTCTGCTGGGTGCTCTCTGTCTCTGAAAATATTTAAATAAACTTAAAAAATTAACTTGCCTTTTCCAGAACCTCATGTAGCTGGAATCATACAGTGTGTAATCTCTTCAGATTGGCGTCTTGCATGTGGTAACAGGCATTTACGTTCCCCACAAGGCTTGTTGTGGTTTGATAGCTCGTTTCCTTTTAGCGCTGGGTGATGACCCATTGTCTGGATTTAGCTGTTTATTTATTTTCC